TTTTTTTAATTTGAGACAGGTTCTTGCCAAGTTGCCAAAGCTGACCTTGTATCTTCCTGCCTCAGCCTCCCAGAGTGCTGGGATCACAGGCATGCAGTACCTCACCTAGCTTGATTGAGGAGATTTTTGAGTTTGGCATGACTATAGACTTGCTTTGTGTATAGCCAGAACAATAGGGCCAGTTCCTATGAAGGAGTTTCCCTTGGTCGTGCTGAGAGCGTGTGCTTCTAATAGTTTTAAACTTTTGTTCAGTTTCCCCTTTATGAATCACAGGACATATATTTTAGTGCTTGGCTGTAAATTTATGAGGGTGATCTAGATGGTTGATGAAGGTCACTTTTTCACTTAAATATTCCATTGTATGCCATGTGCTGTTCCCTCTGCCTTATATGCAGGAGTCTCTGCCTTGTAGGCAGGCTGGAGAGGGGAGCTGTAACTTCTCACATGTGCATCCTCTTATGTGCTGTGGTTACTCAAAAAAACGCTAGATGGACGGGCAGGTGGATGAATGGATGGATGAGCAGATAGATTGATAGGATGGATGGATGGATGGATGGATGGATGGATGGATGGATGGATGGAGAGTGGATGGGTGTTGGATGGGTGGATGGGATGGTGAGTGGATGGGTGGTGGATGGATGGATGGGGAGTGGATGGGTAGTGGATGGGTGGATGGGATGGTGAGTGGATGGGTGGTGGATGGGTAGATGGATGATGAGTGGATGGGTGGATGGGATGAGTTGATGAATGGATGATGGGTGGGTGGGTGGGTGGTGGATAGATGGATAGGATGGGTGGATGGTGGGTATGTAGATGGTCAGCCACTTGTGGTTCTTGTCAAACAGAACTCACATTTGTAGTTAATCGGGACTTTTTATTCTGGGTTTTACTAAAGTTGACACATTTGGCTTTATTATCTGATTCAAGGAGTCTGGAAGTGAGGAAGGAGTTGAGGTCTCTAGTCAGAATCCTTTCTTACTCTGTAGTGGAAGCCACTGCTTTTGATTCCCAGTCTCTTGCGCAGAGCTCCTGTGGCGAGCTGGAACTCTTTCTGGAACAGATGCCAGGTGGCATTCTGAGGTAGTAGGGCTGTCCCCCTTTGACATTTATTTTTACAGATAAGAAGGCACTGGGGTGGCCTCTGCGATAAAGTAATATTGAGTTACTCTCCTGGATAGAAGTATTTGAGTAGAAGTGGGGATCTCATTATTTGCTACCAATTTCCCAAGGTACCCCACATCCTTAGTGTCTTGACTGTGGAATTGGAGAGGAGGGTCTGCCCTTGACTTTTCATATTGGTTTGTTTTGGTGACAGGGTATCACTATGTAGTTCAGACCGCCTCAACCTCCTGAGTGCTAGGATCTTGACTTCAGTTTGAAATGTGTTTAAGAGTACTTTGGTTGCATGCGTTCTTTCTCACTCGCTCACTTGCTCGCATTTATTTATTTGGTACAAGGTCTCACTACACAGCTCAAACTCAGTGATTTTTCTGTCTCAGCCTCCCTAGCACTGGGATTATTTTAATGCGCCAGCATATACGGTTTCAGTGGCTGGCACCGCGCTTGGCCGCAGTGGCAGGCAGTACCAGGGATCGAACCTGGGTCCTTGGACTTGGAAGGCAGGCACTTTGACTGCTGAGCTATGTCCCCAGCCCATGGTTGCTCTTTGTAATGGAACAGCGACCTCCACGTTAGCCTGAATCCAAAGCACAGCGACGTTACCCTCGTGGGCCGGGCGCCGCCTGGCTCTGCCAGCCCCACCCGCGGCTCCTGACCACGTCCTCTCTCCACAGCCAGTGGTTCAGCGTGCTGAGCCAGGTGCACGCGTCCACCGACCAGGAGATCCGGGAGATGCACGACGAGCAGGCCAACCCGCAGAACGCCGTGGTGAGCGGGCGCAGGGGTCGCCAGGCTGCAGGAGGGCGGCCGGCAGCTGCCACTCGACTTTCTCTTTAAAGCAAAAGCATAATAATTAGAGAGAGAAGCAGGGTGCACGCTCCTGACATCAAGGGAGCGGTGGCACTTGGGCTTAGGAGATTGGGCGGGTGCAGAGTGTCTCACACAGAAACAGAGGCAGAGGGTCCGGCTCTAGAAAGAAAGCTTTTTTCCCTCCTGAGAAAACGTGAAGTGTGAAACAGCAAAAGACCATGGCACCGGTTGGAAAACCCATGCCATTGAAAGAAGTTCATAAAGCGCTTGCACAGAAGCTATTTGGAGACCAGGACAGATTCCTAATCCCCCAGGGACAGACCACAGGTGCTGCCCTGTTTTGGGTCTGTCTGCGTTCTCTGAGCAAAGTGCAGCTTTCTAGAAAACGCTTAATTCCCAGTCAGCCCAAAGGCACCTTGGCTGGCACGTGGGGCGCGCGGCCATGGGGGGGGGCGCGGCCATGGGGGGGCGCGGCCATGGGGGGGGCGCTGCTGTGGCCCAGGCCCGCTTGCGGCCGCTCACTCTGCGCTCTGCCCCACCCTCCCCAGGGCACGCTGGACGTGGGGCTGATCGATTCCGTGTGTGCCTCCGACAACCCCGACAGGTGAGCTCCGGGGTGGGGACCAGCAGAAGTGATTTGCAGCCGGGTGGGGTGGCACACACCCATGATTCCGGCTCTCTGAAGGCTGAGGCAGGAAAAGCTCGGTGTGTTCAAGGCCAGCCAGAGCTACATGCTGAGACTTCAGACAGCAGAAAGCCCCCTGAGAGGGTGGGTTTGAAACAACAGCAGCAACATCCCAGGAGCGTTGTCTGCTGGGATAGAGAAGCAAGCCGGGTGCAGGCCCGCAGGGTGACGCACGGGAGGCTGCAGTCGCTCTCGCCAAAGGTAATGCCAGATTTGAGGAGGACTTTGATCGTGATGTGCACATAGAGTATGAATAAGCCACACCCCAGCATTTTTTTCCTTCCCATTTCTGCTTTTTCCATGCCCTGAAAATAGCTTGTTCTTTTTTTTTTTTTTTTTTTTAAGAATTATATTTATTTATTTATTTATTTATTTAGTGTCCGTGGCCAATTCAGCCCACCAGAGGGCGGGGCTGGCTGGCATGTGGTGCTGGGGGACTGAACCGTGGTCCCTGTGCTTTGCTTAGCTTAGCTTGTTCTAAGTAGGTGCTTTAGACCACTGAGCCATCTCACCAGCCCAATAGCTTGTTCTTAAGTCCTGTTCTCTGGTGGCAGATCCACTTTGGAGTCTTAGTAGCCATGAGCTTTGTCTTTACTGCCTGTCAGTTCCCCACAGTACTGGTCACGATTGTGTACAGCAAACATGGACAAATAAAAATAAAAAAAGGCAAAATCCTCACTGACGTGAGAGGGCCAGGGAGATGGCTCAGTGGAATAAGCACCTGCTTGGTAAGCACAGGGGCCTGAGTTCAATCCCCACTTCTGGAAGAAGAAAAAAAAAAAAAAGATTTCACTGGCGTGAGGCCCGGACGTCCCCCGTACCTGCGTTGCCCAGCTGTATTCCAGGGTGCTGATTTGGTCAGATCTTAAAAATAGGTAAATAGGCTTTAAGGAGCTGTTCCATGTGGAGCTGTTTCGCCCTGTTGTTCAATGTCTTGGTTAACTCTGCTGTTGTTAAGGTGAAATATCTGACAGCCAAAGCTGAAGGAGGAAAGGTTTATTGCAACCCACCATGCGAGAGTTCAGTCCTTCACGGCTGGTCCTGAGGCAGAGAGGCCTGGTAACATGGCGGGGAGAAGCAGTCCATGGCAGAGCAGACAAAGGCCGAGAACAGCAAGCCGCAGCGGCCACAGCCTGCCTTGTCTCTGTCCCTTTATATTCTGTCTGTGCCATAGCCTATTGATAATGCCACCCACACCCTTAATCCCAGCATCACAACCTTAATCCTAGTATCATACCTCCTAATCCAGCCACCTTCGAAACTCCCCACGTACGACCCCATGAAGCTCTGGGATGACATCTGAATTTATTAGTAACAGTAAATATTCTACTTGTGAGAAACAGCAGAAAGACAGAAAGGAGTGGGCCGACAGACAGACAGAGATTGATTGCTCTAAGAGGAGCAGAGTGCGAAATAAAACTGAGTTCGGTCCTTGGTTGATAACCACCCAGCCTTTATTGACCTGTTTGTGTCTCTGTCCCAAAAGAGAACCTTTCTCTGTTGTTGCTTTGTGGTCTGTGTATTAAAATGAACAACAAAAAACATCTTGTGGCTGGCAGTTAAGTCCCTGTGCTACTGTCACCTTCCTCAGCTGTGGCTCTTCTGACCTGCAGACCTGTTGTTTCCTGTAGTAACCTGGACTGTCCGTCTGATGCTCACTCCTCTGCCTTATACCAGAATCCAGTACCTGGGTGTGATCTCAGCAATCAAAGCCGAAATTCTTACTGGGGCATGGCTTGTCTTTGTTTGCCCAGACTCCTTCCCTGCAGCATCTTACTCCGATTTTTCTTTCAAGTGTTGCCCTTTTCCCTTCTCAGCTATAGAAAAACCTTTTTTTTTTTTTTTTTTCCAGAAGACTCCACTTCAACCCTTGTACGTTGATTTCCCTGCCCACCACAGTCCAGTTAAACTTTTTCTTGCACTCAGCTAGTGCTTCACTGAAGTAATCGCTTGAAACTTGCCAGAGAGAACTCACACTCCATAGTTTGGGCAATTAGAGAAATTAATGGGGCGCAGCCTGCAGTAGGCTCAGAGCTTTGCCTTAGGCCAAGAGCCACAACGAATGTAAATTTCCATTATCCTGCCCCCTGACTGGGGCATGCGCAGCCTTGCACCCCTAGATCACTTCAGAAACACAGACCTGGTAGCTTTTTGTGCCAGGCGTAGCGCAGGACAAGCACTGTTCAGCTTCCGCCCATTTGCCAACCCTCTTCCATTGTCTGAATTTGCTATTTCATTCCTGGCCCACAGACATATCCCAGGCAACATCCAGAGGCAGAAAGAAGTTGGCTTTGGGGAAACATAAGAAATATACAAATTTTAAAAATCCCCCCATGGCTACTTTATTTAGCCTTACCAGAATTGAGTCTCATCTGGCAGGTTCCGCATAGAGGACCACTTTCCTCCAGGAACCTTCTCAGTGAATGTATTTGAAGGTTAATGTTGGAGCTAAGTCCCGCAGGATGGCGCAGAGTCGGACTGAGCGTAACGCGCGAGCGGCACGAGTGGGTCGAGTGTGTCCTTGTGACCGCCGTGCCGAGCGCACCTTCTCGGTGCCGGAGGCGGAGCCGCCGAGCACAGCGCCCGCTCAGGCCTTGCGACCTCTCTCCCGGCCCGCAGGCGCAACGCATTCGTGATCATCACGGCCAACCGCGTCCTGCACTGCAATGCCGACGCGCCCGAGGAGATGCACCACTGGATCACGCTGCTGCAGCGCTGCAAGGGCGAGGCGCGCGTGGAGGGCCAGGAGTTCATCGTGCGAGGTGCCCCCGTGCCTGCCGCGGACAGCAGCCGCGCTCCCTCCCGGAGCCCTTAGAGTTGCTTTGGCTCCTGTAGAAGTTTTTAAAAATAATACGCAACGCTCCCAGCCCTTTTCCAGCAAATGGGCTGTGTTTGTATAGTGCGGCCTGTGATACGAGTAACGGCGTGGGCCCTGGAGTTTCTCCTGGTTGCTTTACTGAGCTTTGCTGCCCCACCCCAAGACGCCAGGCAGGCACCCCCCACCCAGCGCCTGTAGTTGCGAGCTCACCTGAGCCTTCCTTTCCAGGGTGGCTGCACAAAGAGGTAAAGAACAGCCCGAAGATGTCCTCGCTGAAACTGAAGAAGCGCTGGTTCGTCCTGACCCACAACTCTCTGGACTACTACAAGAGCTCGGAGAAGCACTCGCTGAAGCTGGGCACGCTGGTTCTCAACAGCCTCTGCTCCGTCGTGCCTCCGGACGAGAAGGTCTTCAAGGAGACAGGTAATCAGGAGGCGGCAGCGTTCTGGAAGCAGCCGCGACCCTTGGTCACCCGCCTGCGAAGTGCGCAGGAGGAGTCTGCTGAGGGCAAGAGACTAAACCTGCGGGCACAGAGCATCCGCCTGTGGGAGGCCTCGGGTTTGCACGCGTGTGTTTTTTCTTTTCCCCATTATGTATCCAACAAAGGTAAATCCTGCCCATGAACTTAGCCTCGTGCGGAACATGACAGGCACGTGGACTTCGAGGTGATTGTTTTTGTTTTGTTTGTGAGGCAGCATCTGGGTGTTTACATCCTGCAGGCCTCAAACTCAGTGATCCTCCCTCCCAAGTGCGCGTGCCAAGCACGAGTCTGGTGTGGCTTTGTTTTTCCTTTTCTGTGGTGTTATAAAAGTGTTTCTTCTGGAAGATTGCTATTTAGATTTTTATTTCTTGTGGTTTTGTGCTGTTTTTAACAGTAGTTGCTCTGTGCACGTCAGCTTAGGGAATCTGCGGTGTTTCTGTGAACACAGAGCCCGCTTAGCCCAGGGGTTTCTGCTGGAAAGGGCAGGGGAGCTGAGGGGACACCTCTCACAGGGAGTGGAAGGAAAGTCAGAACCCGAGGGCTGTTCGTATGCCTTCTCCAGAAATGTGTCCCTAGAAGGGACATTAGCCTGCTCCTGCTCTCTGTGAGAACAAGTATCACCATTTATGTGTTTAGTTCTGGGTTTCTTGTCTGAATATCTGTGGTCACCTCTCCTGGAAACTGCACAGTTTGAGGAGCACATGGCATTTGTGCCAGACACAGCACAGAGAAGACTCAGCAGCTGTCAGAGTAAATGACTGATTCATTGAGGGCCAAGAGGACGGAGGCTTCTATGATGCTGAATTTGTGGGACTGGTACCAGAGCATCATCTCCACGCAGGAGGCCGATGCCAGCATGTCCCTGCTGCCACTGTCCTTCCAGGGTATTGGAACATCACTGTGTACGGGCGCAAGCACTGTTACCGGCTATACACCAAGCTGCTCAACGAGGCCACCAGGTGGGCCAGCGCCATTCAGAATGTGACTGATACCAAGGCCCCAATAGACACCCCAACCCAGCAGCTGATCCAGGACATCAAGGTGAGTGCCTCAGGGTCAGGCCCGCTCCGTGTTTATCCCTCCATCACAATTAGTGCTTCGTTAGTCTTGGGCTAAGACCCAACTGTGACACTTTAACTGAAATTTTACACAAAAAATGTTTTGCCTGTGAGAAGTTGTTAGGGGCTGCGGCTGAGGGAATTCTGGTCACTGGGCCCTGGAAGCAGAGGGAGGTCTGCAGTTCGGGCTCTGCGGCTGCCCAGATGGCCAGGGATGACTTCCCTGTCACAGGTTCTAGCTCGGGTCCAGCTGGGGACCCAAAAGTTCTATTCCCACTGTACAGTTTCTAGAGCACTCAAATAGATTCTCAGAAAGCCCAGGTAGAACATTCTAGAACTCTCAGTCAGTGACTCCAGATATCCAGGAGCTCCAGGTCTCTGGGTTAATAGTGACTATGTTGGGTTGTAATTTCCTGCCTAAAAGTTGAATGGCCCAGTAATTCTGTGTCAGTTGGAGGATCCAGTGATTAAATGACAGGTACAAGCAAGGCTTTCCAGTTGTGTTCACGGAGCTGTCAACCCCTGATGCCGGACCCAGTCAGCCATGACAGAAGAGATCCTAAAACAAAGGCAACTCGGTGTTGCTCAAAGCTTTGGCGGATCCCAGGGTACCAGATACAAACGGGCTCACTTTCAGCCTTAAAATGAATTAGTTTTTTTGGTTTTGGGGAGATATTTTGAGAAAGGAGTTTTTTTTAGAAGAAAATTTATCACCCTTCAAAGCTGTAGCACATCTATTTTTATATTCTATGATTACTAATTCAGACATTCAAAGGATAAATGTAATGTTCCTGCTGCACAGTGATGCCCTTTAAGAAGTGAGACAAATTGCCCTAATTAAGTCCACAGAGCACTTTTAAAGTAATTTAAAATTTTTTTTTTTTCTGGCTTCCTATTGGATGTTATTGGAAAGTTATATAGTGGGAATGAAATGACTGACAGAATGCTTCCTCATCACTTCTCCAGCTTTTCTGTGTATTCAAAGCTCTGGAAGTCACTCGGCCTTTTCAAATCCCAGATTTTAGGGCAGGTGGACGTAAGGAGAGAGTCCTCATGAACAACCATGTGTGGCATTCTAGGTACAGAGAAAACAAAAGAACTAGCAAAACATACTTTTTCTGTTTACATTTTATGTATTTGGTGTAGGATCTTACTATGAGCTCAGACTCACAGCGATCCTATTTTCAGTCTCCCCAGCGCTGGGATTATAGGTGTGCCACTACACCTGGACTTGGTGGCTGGTTCAGCGAGCCTGTGGGCAGGGTTGGTGGGGCACATGCCAGGGATGGAACCTGGGCCCTTGTACTTTCCTAAGCAGGAGATTACACCGCTGAGCTTTCTCCACGATCCCCAAGCAAAATGTACTTTTAAAATGAAGGGTGGGTAAAGATACCATGGCAAACAGCTAAATCTTTACAGTGTTCCAACTTTGAAGTTAAGTGTATATATATTCTGCAGGGGGTAGTTTTAATAACGGGACTACAGTATATGCACCTGAAACAGAAAGAGCTGCAGAAGTAGCTGTAATTTGTCTTGAAACACAAATTGTATGTCTTTGTCCTTAAAATCATTTATGCTGGAAGCGATTGGACAGAGGAGTGTAGAACTGACACACCATAGTACCTTAGCCTGCCATGAAGCAGGTCCAGCCTGACTCATGTGTAGGAGAATGGGCGCACCTGGAGACCACGCTGGAACGTGGGATCGATCAGACGCACAAGCTTAGCTAGTACATGGTTCTCCTAGAAGAAGCCCAACACACAAATAAATTCAAGAGCAAGACAAAAGAATAGTGAACAGGAAGATGGAGCTTTTGCACATGGAAAGGGGACAAAGAGGCAGAGGGTGGGGAAGGGCAATGAAAAGCAGCTACGCGCGGTGGGGCGCAGCTCCCTGCAAGGAAGTGCCGCACTGGCGCGCGTCTGCCTGGCCTCCCGGCCTGCCGGCCTGCCTCCTCTGCCATCGTCCCTGTGCTTCCAGGAGAACTGCCTGAATGCCGACGTGGTGGAGCAGATCTACAAGCGGAACCCCATCCTGCGCTACACCCACCACCCGCTGCACTCGCCACTGCTGCCGCTTCCCTACGGAGACATCAACCTCAACCGTGAGTCCCGGGCCCTGCGGCTTCGGAGCTGTTTGGATTCAGAAACTGTGAGCACTAGGGAAGCATTCCACGGGGCCAGGGATGGCAGCGCTGCCCTCGGTGCAGAGTGGCCTGCGATGTGCAGGGCCCCCACCCGCCCCAGGACCCTGGCTGAGGGGTGGCCGTTCGCGGAGGTGCACACGCCCACCCTCGCTGAGTGCACCGCGTGAGGGGCAGCGCTTGTTAGAAAACGGGCTTTGGGTTAGTGGATTCTCCCAGCTGCTTTGGTTACTCTTGTTGCTAGGACAAAGTATGAGGTATGCACAGCTTAATGGGAGACAGTGATTGTGGGCGACAGGCTGTGACGGTTTCCATCCATGGTGGCTGGCATGGTCCAGGGGTCTGGGAGCTGCTCACAGCACAGAGAACAGGAAGCAGGGTGAAGGGGAGCTGGGGAAGGGCCACGCCTTTCCAGGCCGGCCACACCCAACAGCCTGCGTCTTCTGGGTCAGGCCACGCCTCTTCCGGGTCAGGCCCCGCCTCTTCCGGGTCAGGCCCCGCCTCTTCCGGGTCAGGCCCCGCCTCTTCCGGGTCAGGCCCCGCCTCCTAATAGCAAGCCTGCTTTGGGTGCCCATAAACTAGTCATCTTCCAAAAGCCCAGCTCAGGAGCGTTTAAGGCTGTGGCAGGACAGCTAGAGCTAAACCATGACGCCAGCTGTAGGCTCATGGGTCTCCTGGGCATGTTTAGAGAGCCTAGGCTAAGCTATGACAGTGGACAGGCCAGAGCATTTTTTTCTGGTGTTTTTCTGGACGTTGGACTCAGGCCTCGCATATGCCAGGCAGGCACTCTAGTGCTCATCTGTGAAAAACAGCAGCGTGCCCTTTTTTGGTTTTTCTTTTTCAATAATAGAGTTGTACAGTGCAGGTCAGGCAGGCCTTGATCTCAGTATGTAGCCCAGGCTGGCTTGAAATTTGCGGTGATCTTCCTGCCTCAGCTTCCCAGCTGCTGGCAACGCAGGCATGCGCCACCACGCCCAGCTTCTGTGCGTTTTTGACTTCATGGTAATTTCAAGTTAGAATGGATTTATCAGGAATGCTTCCCCATTTAAATTAAAGAGTATCTCTACAGAGAAAGAGATCTTAAAACAATTTTACATGCTAAGTATGAAACCTGTTGAGCCATACAATTTGCTTTTTGGGTTTGTTTTTGTTTTTGTTTTTGTTTTTTTTGGCGAATCAAACTCAAGACCTCGCACTTGCCAGGCAGGCACTAATGGGTGAGCTGTATCCCCGGCCCCATACACTACATTTTAAAGGCTCTACTTTCAGGGATCATTTCTATAGTATGTTACTAGAGAAGTTTCTCTGATCATGTAGAGTACCATACACTAGGTTTTAAATGAGCATTTTATGGACCAGAGAGTTCAGTTATAAACTGAACATGATGGTGCATATCAGTAATCACAGCACTTTGGGGAGGCTGACACGGGATGGAGGCCAAGTTCAGTAAGCCCAGCTGGGACAGTTCAGCAGCTTGGTGAGACCCTATCTTAAAATTTTTTAAATTTAAAAATGGGGATGCCTGGGGAGGTAGCACTATTTACTGGCCTAGATCCCTAGAATTCAAAAAACCAAGTTTCAAGGCAGTGTGACCCCCGCTGCTCTCAGGCCTTGTGTGTGCAGAGCTGGCTCCCATGCCTCCCCCGTCCTTCTGTGCCCTGCTCAGGAGCCCTCTCCCATGCCCCGGGGTGACACTGTCGCTTGCCTTCCTAGTGCTCAAGGAAAAGGGCTACACCACCCTGCAGGACGAGGCCGTCCGGCTCTTCCACTCGCTGCAGCAGCTGGAGTCCATGGCCGACCCCGTGCCTATCATCCAGGGCATTCTGCAGACGGGCCACGACCTCCGGCCCCTGCGGGACGAGCTGTACTGCCAGCTCATCAAGCAGACTACCGGCGTGCCACAGCCGGGCAGCGCGGGCCACCTGTGCAGCTGGCAGATCCTCGCCTGCCTGGGCTGCACCTTCCTGCCCAGCCGCGGGATCCTCAAGTACCTCAAGTTCCACCTGAAGAGGTGAGGGCCGCGCGGCCGGGCAGGGACCGGGCCTCCTGCTGCAGCAGCTGGCTGTGTGGTGCTGAGGTGCGCCCTGCACTCAGCATGGGGTCTGTGAGGCACAGACAGCGGGAAACTGACTGGGTTTTTTTTTAATAATATTTAAGCATTTCATTTTATTTTCCACATTCATTCATTTATTATTGTTTTCTTAAGACAGGGTCTCACTGTGTAGTTAAGGTTGATCCTGAACTCACCATGTAGCCCAGGCTGGCCTTGAATGGGACATGCTCCTCCTGTCTTGGCCTGAGTGCTAGGGTGACAGGAGTACTCCCCTATGTCTGACTCGACACATTTTTATTTCTTATTTTACTAGTTTTTGTTTTTATTGCTAAATGTTCACTTGCTTAAGCGGTTGTTAATGTCTGCCTGAGGTTTCCAGTGTGACGCTGTGGGGTATATTTTAATTGCACAGTGGGCAGAGGTGGGGCTGTGGGAAACCCTTCCCATGATTCTGGAGCCAGATTCTTCTGCGGAGGAGCTGTGCAAGCCCTGGCCATTCAGTTTTTCCCTGTTCAAACCACGAAGGCGAAGCTGTTTGCCCTGGCACCACTGGGGGGCGCCCCCACTCCGCTCCCAGGCCTGCTGGCCTGCTGGCCTCACACCCTGCTGACTGTCCCCCTTTCTGCCGTAGGATCCGCGAACAGTTTCCAGGAACCGAGATGGAAAAATACGCCCTCTTCATCTACGAGTCTCTGAAGAAGACCAAGTGCAGGGAGTTCGTGCCCTCCCGCGATGAGATCGAGGCGCTGATCCACAGGCAGGAGATGACGTCCACGGTGTACTGCCACGGCGGGGGCTCCTGCAAGATCACCATCAACTCGCACACCACAGCCGGCGAGGTGAGGCTGTGCCACCCTGCAGCAGCCTCGTGGGCAAAGTGGTGGCATGAGCCTGGCACTCGGGAGGCTGGAGCAGGAGGATCCATGCGTGTACTAGGCCAGCCCAGGCTACATGGCAAGAAGAAGCAAACGAGAAGATGAGTGGGAACACTTGTGCCAGGGTGCCCGAGACAGAATCCTGCTCACCTGGGTGGCGGCTGTTTGGCCCTGGCAGGGCAGGGGGGGATGTGTGTGATGTCCCTTCTGCAGTGTTCTGGTGCCATACGAATAGGGAGACATAGGGCAGAAGAGCACTTTTGCAGCTTTTCTTTTTGCTCCCCCATTCAACTGATTCTCGTTTAGCCCCTTGCTCAGGTTTTCTTTCTCCCCATATTGGGGCCAGTGCTTTTCTTTTTCTTTTCTTCTTTTTTTTCCGGAACCAGGGATTGAACTAAGGCCCTTGCGCTTGCCAGGGAAGCGCTTATTCCACTGAGCCATCTCCACAGCCCCACTTTTCCTTTTCCAAACTTAGCCCTTTCTTTTTTTTCCCCTAGTGCCAGAAGTTGAACTCAGGACCTTGCACTTGCCAGGCAGGCGCTTGTGCTGCTGAGTGATATTCCTGGGCCTTTTGTTTTGTTTTTTGACACAGCATCTTGCTATGTAGCTCCAACCAGCCTTAATCTTGCAGTAATCCTCCTGCCTCAGCCTGCCAAGTGCTGGGATCGCTGGTGTGTGAGCGTCACCACACCCAGCTCTACATTTAGCATTATGCCAGGGAGGTAGCTCAGTGGAATAAGTGCCTGCCTGGCAAGTGTAGGGTCCCAGGTTCTATCTCTGGTACCACAAAAATGCATGAATGAATTAATTAATTTAGCATTATGAAGCGCTGGCCAAGAGTAACCAACATAATGAATCCCCACCAGCTTCACTTGAAGTCATCACTCTGTATTGCGTTTGAGGTCATTTGTTAGAGAAGCACAGAATGCTCGCATTTTGTCTGCTTTTTCAACAAATGCAGAGTTGTAAGAAATAGCTCTGCCTTGGATCCTGTTGGTGGCCGTAATACCCTGTTCCGTTTTGTCAGGGGAAAGACAAAACGAACTTCCAGAGAAGCAGGGGAGAGGGCCGGCCTGGGGGTGGTGGCTGGGTGGTGGCTGGTGGCCCCCATGAGCTAGCCCACCACGCATGCATGCCGCTGCTGTCCCACAGGTGGTGGAGAAGCTGGTCCGAGGCCTGGCCATGGAGGACAGCAGGAACATGTTTGCGCTGTTCGAGCACAATGGGCACGTGCACAAGGCCGTCGAGAGCCGCACCATTGTGGCGGACGTGCTGGCCAAGTTTGAAAAGTGAGTTCCCCCCTGCGAGAGCATGCAGAGCGTGTGGCAGAGCTGGGGTCGGCACTGCAGGTCTGGGCCCGCCCAGCCACCGGCTTCCCAGGCGGAGCAGGTCCAACTCCTGGTCTCGTTCCTGGAGGACGTTGTGGTCTCAAGGATGGTTTCATGATGCCTGTTACTGAGCACTCGAGAGGCTGAGCAGGAGGGTGGCCCTGAGTTCAAGGCCAGCCAGGGCTGCAAATTAAGCCACTGTCTCAAAAAAGGCACATCTGGAATACTACTTCTGGCTTCATAGCCCCTAAATAGCACTGAGTGCCTTCCTGCTCAACAAAAGCGCAGCCTTCGGAGAAGAGGATCCAGTTTTCCTAGTGCTGTCGTAATTCACTTGAAGGTGGGGAAAGGGAAGGAAGGGGGAGCAGCTCTTCGGCACATGGCCTCCCTGGTGCTGTAGATCAGGCCCTCCAGAAAAGCCCTCCTGGCAGCGTGTCACTAAGGCTGTCGCTTTTCCCGAAGTGGGGCCAGGCTTTGCGTCTGCTCGGGTAAAGCCGGCCAGCAGCTCTGCAAGGCTCTGCCGCTGTCCCCCATCCTCCCACCCCACATGTCCCCAAGGGTCACCTGGGGTGCCCGGGTTATGCATCCTTCCAGAGAACGCGCCATGTGGGTCCCCCCAGGGCCGACTGCCCTTGGTGTCTGAGTCTGTCCTGACCTCTGCCCCAGGCTGGCTGCCACACCTGACGCAGGGGACTTGCCCTGGAAATTCTACTTCAAACTCTACTGCTTCCTGGACACAGACAACGTGCCGAAGGACAGCGTGGAGTTTGCGTTCATGTTTGAGCAGGTAAAGGGGCCTCAGGACGCGGCTTCCTTGACTGGGAGCAGGAGAGAAACTGGTCACTCCCAGGGATCTGTCAACTGCTGGTCCTTAGAAATGACAGCCAGAGCTTCGTGTGTTGGTGAACACCTATAATCCCAGCACTGGGGAGGCTGAGGCAGCGAGATGGGAGTTCGAGGCCAGCCTGGGCTACATAGCGAGAGACCCAGTCTCAAGTCGGTCAGACTCCTGCGGCCAGCAGGAGGTGCCTCGCAAAGACGCAGCCCGCAACCCTTGTTGCGTTCGTTAGGTGAGACTAAGCCACATCTTACCTAAGCTTCCCTGCTAAGAGCTGTTGTATTAGGGCGGGGACGTAAGAATAAAGCCCGCGGTCTGCGGTCTGTACTGTGCCCCAGCGCAGAGGGAAGTTGGGTTGGAGGCTGTAAGGCTGGGGTCAGATTTTCTGGTTTCGACCTCCGGTTTCCACTCCTGCGCTTTGGCAGCCTTCGCCGCTGTTGTGCGTGGGGAGCTGGCGCATGCGCACGACGCGTCTCGGCTGCTCCCTCCGCCCCTGGTTCCCGAAGCCCTTTGCGGACGGTCTGCCGCTGTGTTTCCTGTTACCGTCTTTCATCTAGTTCAGTTTATTCTCTGGGTGTTGCACAGAGGCGAGATCTGGCACTAGTGAGCTTGTGTGTAGGATTTGCTTCTCTTAGCACTGTGGGCGCAAGGTGCGCCTGTTCTACAGATGGCTCGCTTACCCTTCTTCATGGCAGGGTAGTGCCCCGCGGTGTGCACCTGCCAGGCTTTCCTGGTCCGTTCTCCTGTGCAAGCTTCAGCTACTGTGCCTCTGCTGCTGTACACGTGGGTGTGCGTGGGTCACTCGTGCAGTGTGGCCTTAACCCTTTCGAGAAGGAGCGCAGCTAGGCAGATTGGAACTCTAGCGGCAGGACGCCCCACCACCTGCCCTCCTGACTGTCGCCCCACAGGCCCACGAAGCGGTGATCCACGGCCACCACCCGGCTCCAGAGGAGACGCTGCAGGTGCTGGCGGCGCTGCGGCTGCAGTACCTGCAGGGCGACCTCACCTCGCAGGCGACCGCGCCGCTGGAGCCCCTAGAGCAGCTGGAGCAGGTGTACTCGCTGCGCAGGCTGTACGCACGCGTGCGCCAGGCCGCCCAAGGCGCGGCAGGGGAGCGGCTGCAGCGCCGGCGCACCAGCTTCCTGGACAGCACCCTGCGGCGCAGCCTGCGGCCCGGGTCCGCGCGGTCCAGGGAGGATGGGCAGGCGCTGGACCTGTGGCTGCAGGAAGAGCTGGGCAGCGTGCGGGCTGGCGTGCTAGACAAGTGGCGGAAGCTGCAGGGCCTGAGCCAGGAGCAGGCCATGGCCAGGTACATGGCCCTCATCAAGGGGTGGCCCGGCTACGGCTCCACCCTCTTCGACGTGGAGGTGAGGAACCCGCGCGCTCCCTCCTCCTTCCTCCAAACATTTCCTTAATATTAGGAAAATTATATATGGTGTTTGTTTTTGGTTTTTGTTGTTGTTGTTTTTGTGGCTTAGGCTGCCTGAGGGGCAGGTCTGGTAAGGCAGGTAGAGCTGGGAATGGAACCATGGTGTCCTGGTCCTGCCTTTGCATGAGCAGGCGCTTGAACAGCTGAGCTAAGGGCAGGATCCATTATAAACTATTATGGAGCTGTCTTCCTTTGTCTTTTGGAGACAGGGTCTTGCTATGGGGTGCAGGCTGGCCTTGAGCTCGCTGTGCAACCCAGGCTGGCCTCAGCTGGCCTAGTCATCCTGCCTCCACACTGCTGCATCCACTGGCCTGGGCCACCACTCACTTCTCATTTAGGGAAGGGTCTACAGGGTGTTTAGGGTCTCACTACTAGATCTGACTTGTAGTGATCCCCCTGTTTACAGCATCCCAACAGCTGGGATTACAAGCGTGGGCCACCGCGCCCAGTCTCACTACTCTCGAACAGGATGTCAGTTGTTGAGTAAGTTTTAGCTTTTCTTGTGGAAGCTGTAGACTTTTTTAAATGCTGATAAAAATCTGCATTTATAATTTTAGTTCCTTCAGAATTAGATAATACATTAGAAAGGTCTGGTGTCTGATTAAGTAAACTTTCCCCAAAATGGGACCAGAAATGTTCAGACTTTAGAGTTCTTTCAGGCTTAGGGTTGTTTGGGTACATTTTCCACCCACTTGAGCTTGACACACCTGAAAACCTGAGGTTCAGAATGCCCAGGTTCGAGACTGTGAGCGAGCGCCAGTTGGGAGCATCCTACGTCTTGGACTTTCTGAGTGGACGTGCTCACTGTGCTTGGCTTGCCTTTTGGTTTGTCATCACAAGCGTTATCTCTGTGAGGGGAACAAATGGCAGTGAAAGGAGATTTTTTATTTTGTAGTCAGATTTTTTTTTTTTTTTTCCATTTTATGTGTATGGTATAGGGTCTTACTCTGCAGCTCAGACTCGTAGTGATCCTCCTGTTTTCAGCCTCCCAGTACTGGGATTACAAGGATGGGCCACTACACCTGGTCTTGGTCCCTGGCCCAGCACACCCCGGAGGTGGGGCCGGCGCAGCATGAGGGACTGGGGATTGAACCCTGGTCCCTGTGCTTGTCAAAGCAGGTGCTTAGTCTGCTGAGCTATCTTGCTGGTTTTTGTAATCGGAATTTAACAAAGTGATTCATAGTTCTTGTTTTGCTGCTTGTTTTGGTGCTGGGGATTGAAGCCTTCGTACAGCAAGCTGTGTCCCCTGCCCTTGTTTTTTAAATTTTCCCACATGGCCTTGCTGAATTGCAGGGTTCATTTTTGGTTCATTTTTCTTAGTAGCCACTAACTGAAAGAAAACCTAAAAAAAGAAAGAAAGCCTTCCTAATGGTATAGGAGAGGTTTGACTGTCTCAGTTGTACTGTTTATTTATTTTTTCAAAAAAAGGTGTTGCCAGACTGGCTGAATATGAAATCAGACCTTCCTCTTTATGGTGCAGTTGTGTTCAGTCCCTTTGTCACCTTTCCTGGCTGCTCTGTTGTGGGGACACAGGGCTGATGTGAGGGCCGCCTAGACGTGGATAGCCAGGCCCAGATCCTGCCGCAGGCGGCTCCTGGTGTTCAGGGTGCAGTTCTCCCGCCTGCCACCTCGGGATATTCAGTCGAGTTTCTGCACTGACTCAAATGCTGCTTGCACGTCCAAGGTCCCTTAGCACCTCCTCCTGGGTGCTGTTTGGGTTCTGTTAGGTTATTTCTGTGGGGTCTGCTGCAGGTGTGACCAGTGCCCGGGACCAAGTCCCTCCACCTCGCACCTGGGACTCAGGCCCCACTTCCCACCTTCCCACTGTGGTCCTTCAGACCCCGAGCTGTGGCTCAGTCAGTCTTTGGGGCTCTCAGCAGGGAGCCGTTTGCACCAACTAGGCATGAGGCCTGTAAGCTCAGCATTTGGAAGGCTGAAGCAGGAAGATCGCTGCACGTCTGAGGCCAGCTTGAACAACATAGCGAGGCCCTCTCTCCAAATTCAGAAGAGGTCCTTGCTGCTCGCTGTGCAGTTAAACGTGGGCATTTGCACTGAACAGACCCCACCTGGTCCTGCTAACCCGGCCTCTCTCCACAGTGCAAGGAGGGCGGCTTCCCGCAGGAGCTGTGGCTGGGCGTGAGTGCCGACGCCGTGTCAGTGTACAAGCGCGGGGAGGGCCGGCCTCTGGAAGTCTTCCAGTACGAGCACATCCTCTCGTTCGGGGCGCCCCAGGCCAACACCTACAAGATCGTGGTGGACGAGCGGGAGCTGCTCTTTGAGACCACCGAGGTAGGAGCCGCCCCAGGCCTGTGCCCATCTCCCCCTCTCCTTTGGGATACACGGCAGAGCTGGGCGTAGAGGCCCATGCTGCAATCCCAGCAGGCGGGAGGATCTCTGAGCTAGAGGCCCACTGGGGTTACCCAGGGAGACCCTGGCTCAAAATAAAAATTGAAGAAAGAAACCAGATGGGATTAGGAGGAGGTGGCTGGCGTGGGGACGCTGGCTCCTGGGACCCCAGTGTCTGCTGCTCCAGCAGCCTCGCAGCAGGAGACAGAATCAGACAATGCCGGCTGCAGGGCAGAGGTTGGCATCTCTGTGACCTTCCTGACATAGTGCTGGAGCACTGCTGGGGCAACGGGTGCTCTCTGTACGGGTTCCATGAGCGATGTATCGTGGGGGTGCACATTGCATTTGGAGAAGCTACAGCTCCCTTCGCCCTGGCTGAGAGCAGTCTGCTGAGAAGGGGCTCGCTGTGTAGTCCAGCTGGCCTTGAACTTGCGGTGATCCTCCTGCCTCAGCCTCCGGCGTGCTGGGATCCACCCTGGCCTCACATCAGAAGCTGCCAGCCTCTGCAGGGAGGGTAGGAAGGGTAGGGAGGCAAGGGCATGCAGGGTGTCATGACCACATGGGGCTTTGTGTCCCCGGCAGGTGGTGGACGTGGCCAAGCTCATGAAGGCCTACATCAGCATGATCGTGAAGAAGCGCTACAGCACCACGCGTTCCCTGAGCAGCCAGGGCAGCTCCAGGTGAAGGTGGCTAGTGGCGCACAAGGCTCTGACGTCGGCTCGCACCGTGCTGCCGCCTGGACTGCTCCGGTCCTGGCCCGGCCGAGGCAGGCAGAGTTGCCTGGCTCCCTGGAAGCCCTGGGAGGAAGGAGTCTCGGGTCCTTCCACCCCACCAGCTGCAGTGACCATATACTGGGCTGTCAGCAGTCTGCACAATTCCCAAAGCTTTACTAAGATGACACATGCCTTAAAAAAGAGGGGAGAAAAGCCACGCTGCCACCAAAGCAGCCAGAAGTGCCTTAACGTTGCAGACCCAAGCCTCCTTGACCTCGACCTCAACTGTCCTGCTGCAGGGAGCTTGTCCCCGGTGTGCGCGGGGAAGGGCTGTCTGTCCGTCAGTTGTGCACTCATCTCCCCGCCTGATTCCCCCCACAGGGAAGGTGACGCGGGAGGGGCAGTGTGGCCGGAGCGCTGCTGGCAGCCTCCCTGGGGCGCACGTCCACTCCGGGCCTTGCCTCATTTCCGGCGTCTGTGCTGGCACGTGGCGTGTGTTCAGGAACTCACACTTTGATTGCAAGCGTTACACACAAAGGGAAGAGGATGTGCAATGGTGGTTGGACAGTCTGTGTTGTCCTAGTTCCAGTTAGCGTCTTCCCGTCAGGCCTTGAGGTGGTTTGGTTGCCCAGCTGGAGCGCTGGGCTTCCCCTTTGCTTTTGACTGGACTTTGTTCCCCCATGACGAGGTCTGCTGCATCAGGTCAGACCGCAGGCTGCGGAGTGACTGTATTTACAGCGCACTCCCTGCGGCCGCGGAGCTGTTTTTAGACAGTATGAAGTCACTGCCCAGCCTCTCATCTCTAAATCGGTTAAGCTAAAAGAATCCTCTCATTGAAGGTTAGTGTGTGTCCCTCTGCACGGAGGACAGCAGTCGCCGGCTGACCCAGGGGAGTCTCCCTGCCTGAACGATGTGACGGGAACACATCTGAGGCACCTGCATACGGATGTTGAGGCTTCAATAAGACACAAGCATGTTTTATCCTGAGTTTACAGTGGGGTCTGGACAAGGCACCTGTAAATAAATCAGCACCGATGGCCAGAGGCAACATAATCTGGACTTGGACTTTTATTTTTATATGGAGAAATTATAAGGACTTGGGCCATCTAGGTCCAGCACCGTGGCAAACGCAATTTCCCTGACGCCGGCCCTTCACCCTCCTGGCAGCCGCAAGAAAGCAGGTGCTGCCTGTTTCAGAGGCTGACAATAAAGACGTGAGCAACGCACCACTGTGTGGTTTATCGCACCACTGTGTGGCCGACGTGGCTGGGTGAGGGTCCCCACAGATGGCCGATGCTTGCGCGTGACCCACATACCTTCAGTGGTCTCCGTGTGGGTTGGATGGCCTAAGACAACAGAAGTACCGTGGAAACCTTGTCGTCTCGTATTTAGGGCAAAAGGCTGCAGTGTTTGGTCAGATGCAGTTGTATGGCTGTTGTTCTTGGGTTTTTTTCCTTTTTGGTTTTGTTTTTATTTTTTGGCATTTTGCTTTGTTTTGAGACAGGATCTGACTCTGCAGTGTAGGCTGGCCTCAAACTTGCAGTGATCCTCCTGCCTCAGTCTCCCAAGTGCTGGGATCCCAGGCCTGCACCACCATGCCCAGCCGAGTTTTGCTTTGCTGTTTGGTTTTGCTTCCTAACTTGTGGCTGGAGGAGTCCGTGGATGCAGAGCACAGCTGGGAGGCTGCCACCTTGCTCCCGGGACCCGCGGCCTCCCGGGCCCACTCTTCCTTGGAGACAGCAAAGGAGGTGAAAAACCTGGAGCGAAGTCACCCTAATATGCCAGACCGCAGTGGGATGCAAAGTACCCCAGGGACTCCTGCAGCCAGGGGCTGCCCCAGAATCCTCAAGGAGCAGCAGGAAGGCACCCGAAGGTGTGGTCTGCACGTTCATTTTAGGGTACAGAGCGGAGAAGCACCACTCCGGGACCTCCACACCTGAGTTAGAAGGCAGGGGGAGGTGGTCAGGGGCCTGGAGCTGCACTACCACCAGGATGGAGACTTCGGTTTGGATTTGGTTTTCTGGGACAGGGTCTCCGTGCAGTTCAGGCTGGCCTTGAGCTCACTCTGTAGCCCAGCCTGCCCTTGAGCCGGGAATCCTGCCTCAGCCTCGAGTGCTGGGGTTACAGGCCTGCGCTAGCACTCCACGCTCTGGTTTGGTTTTATTAAATTCTTTTTTTTTTTTGGTGGAACCGGGTTTTATTAATTTCTTTTTTTTTTTTTTTCTTTTTGGCAGAACCAGGGATTGAACTCGGGGCCCTTGCGCTTGCCAGGGAAGCGCTTATTCCACGGAGCCATCTCCCTGGCCCTGGTTTTATTAGTTTCTGTTGGCAATGTGGAATACCTATGCTCTCTTTGGGGACTTGATGTGTATGTATGATTCCCTCCCACAGGCACCTGGACAAGCCAGCAACTCTGGCTGGCTTTTAACATTTTATTTAGACATTAGCTGTAGCCTACCAGGCATGGTGACATAGACCTACGAGCTCAGCATGCAGAAGCTGAGCAGAAGGGATGCCAAGAGTCCCCAGGCCAGCCTGGGCTACATAGTAAGTTCAAGGCCAGCCTGAAATACATCGTGAGATCCTGTCTCAAAAAAATAAAAACGGGGGGCTGGAGAGAGAACTCGGTGTTCTAAGAGCCTGCCTGGCACGCACCAGGACCTGGGTTTGATCGGGTACCGTACGCCATGCCGTGGCACACGCCTGTAATCCCAGTGCTGGGGAGGCCACTGCGTAGTGACACCCTGTACCAAATACATAAATAAAAGATTTTCATTTACATTTTAATTTAAAAAACAGAAAGTGGCAGCAGAATGCCTGAGAGGAGCTCTGCATGCCTCGCTAGGTCTCCGGGGTGTTCGCAGCCCGCGGGAACACAGAACGGCGTCATCAGACAGTATGTTAGCGTCCCGTCTGCAGTGCCTGTGCCAGGGCTGGTGGCTGCCCACCGGCTCGTGTGTGCCGTGCCGGCTGGGCAGCTTTCAGCATGGTCCACAGAGTGCCTCTGACGAGCCAGGTGGGAGACAGATGCTTGCAGTCCTGGCACTTGGGTGGCTGGGCAGGAGGACTTCGCTCAAACTCGAGGCCAGTGAGTTCAAAGCCAGCCTGAACTACATACCCAGAGCCTGTCTCAAAAAGAAGAGAATTTAGATAAGAGAGAAAGCTAATCATAAAATGAACTTTTAGCGCCTGCAAGATAGCTCAGCAGAGGGCCCAGGATTCGATCCCTGGCACCACACGCCATGCCAGCCCTGTCTTCTGGGCATGCTGAACCGGTGATGGAGTCCAAGCATGGTGACATGTGTCGTTAATCCCAGTGCTGGGGAGACTGACAGGAGGATCGCTAAGAGTCTGAACTGCATAGTGAGGCCCTGCACAAAAATTAAAATGAACTTCTAAGATGATAGCTTTTAAGTGTTACCAAAAGCACTTAATGTTATGCCCTGGGGATATATCAGCGGCATAAGCACCTGCCTGGCAAGCCCAAGGCCCTGAGTCTCCGTACCAAAAAATAAAAATTAAAAAACATGTTCTGGGGAGATGGCTCAGTAGGATAAGTGCTTGCCTGGCAAGCGCAAGGGCCTGAGTTCAATCCCCGGTTCCACAAAAAAATAAAAAACATTAGTATCTTTAAAAATATAAGAAATAATCCTCTGAGATCAAATCCTCTGGGTTTTTCAATGCTGCAATCTGAACTGAAACCTAAATTAACAACTACATATTAAATAAGTGGAAATTCCTAAGCTAGAATATGAGCGGATCCTAGCAGCAAAGATGGATGGGAGGAGGCTGGGCTGCCCGACTGGATTTCCCGCCCACGGACAAGACAGCTGGACATGGTCCTTCGAGCGATGCTAAGTGTAAAACTCCATAAGTGTGTAATCAATCAGTTAATCCCAGAACAATCCCCCTCTCCTGACAAGGAAGCAGCCTCGTTTGCTCGCCAGTAGAGTTCCTCCTTGACATGTTCTAACCCAACCTGTCTTCTGTTACTTGGTAAAATCATGAATATTTTATCCCCTGTCCTGCATGCAGCGCTCTGAGCCAGCCAGAGAGTCCAGATGTGGTGGTGCACGCCTGTAATCCCAGCGCCGGGGAGCCTGAAAACAGGAGGATTGAGTCCGAGCTGCATAGTGAGACCCTGTACCAAATACATAAATGAAAGAATAGTTCATGACTTTCTAAGTCGGTTTCTGTTGCTACAACTAGCATGTCCCCTCCCTGGGAGGCTGTGCGACACGCGCACACCACGCAGCAGAGCAGCCCCCAGCGGTATCTCCTTCCTGCTGTCTGCACAAGTGTTCTCAGAGCCACCACACCTGAGGATCGTGGCCGCAGAAGTGTTTGGTGCTGAGCACAGCAAGATTCGCTCACTGCTCACCGTTCTCCGTTGTGAAGACAGATGCTGGCCTGGCACGGTGGTGTGCACCAGTAATCCCTGCACTCAGAGGCTGAGACAGTCAGGAGTTTGAGGCCAGCCTGGGCTACGTAGTGAGTTCAAAGCCAAGGGCTGGGGCTGGTGAGATGGCTCAGTGGTCTAAAGCACCTACTTAGCAAAGCACAGGGACCGCTGTTCAATCCCCCAGCACCACATGCCAGCCAGCCCCGCCCCCTGGTGGGCTGAGCTGGCCACACACACACACAAATAAATAAAAAAAAAAAAAAAAGCCAAGGGCTGTCTCCAGCTCAGAATAAGTGTTTCCCTGGCAGGCATGAGGTCCTGAGTTCAATCCCCGGTACCACACAAAAAAAGCCAGCCTGAACAATAAAGTGAAACCCTGTCTCCAATGACTAAAAATATGCAGAAGTCAGGGGTTCAATCCCTGAGCCTGTTGTGCGGGCCCTGCCCCTGGGGCGTGCTAAAATGGCAATTGAGACTGGGTGTGGTGGCACATGCCTGTAATCCCAGCTCTTGGGAGGCTATAAACGGGCGAATCACTATGAGTCTGATCTAGTAGTGAGACCCTGAACACCCTGTAGACCCTTCCTTAAAATACAAAAAAAAAAAAAGACCGAAAGATAACTGGTGGTCCCTACAAGACAGTGCCATCAGCCCTCATCAGAGTAAACTACACATGCCACATAATCTGTGCTGTTAGGCAATCCAACTAACCTAGCAACAGAATCTGCCCAGCTGGAGACAAATCTATTGAGATTTGATAAAGAATTTGTAAGGGGCTGGGGATATAGCTCAGTGGCACAAGGGCCTTCCTGGCAAGCACAAGTTCCTGGTACCAAAAAAGTTTTAAGCCAGGGGTGGTGTCACACACACGTAATCCCAGCATGTGGGAGGATTAGGCAAAAGAATTGTTGTGAGTTTGAGACCAGCCTGGGCTATAAAGGGAAGTCAAGGCCAGCCTGGATTGTATAGCAAGACCCTGTCTCATAAAGGGAAAAAAAAAGTATAAGAAGTATGTATAGGCCTGGGAGATGGCTCAGTGGAATAAGCGCTTCCCTGGCAAGCACAAGGGCCTGAGTTCAATCCCCGGTTCTGAGAAAAAAAAAAAAAGTATGTATAAAGTAACTAATTGCTTTAAGCAAACCAACACCTGCACTTCCACTTTCCCATACTTCCACTTTTTGAAAGTAATCTCTTTTTTTTTTGGTACTCGGGATCCAACTCAGGACTTTGTATTTGCTGGCCGGGCACTTGTGCCGCTGAGCTATCTCCCCAGCCCTACCTGCACTTTCTGTCAACACAACTAGAGAGGATTTCTTCCTTAGGTTATGTAGGCCACGTGCCCAGGCTGGCAGAGGCTCTGCCTTCCTGGGTGTCCAGCGTGCCAAGTTTCCCTGGGCTTGAACACATACTATCAGGATGAGAACTTCATCTCTTAACCTCAATCGGAAGTGACGTCACTGCGATTCTGGCCTACCAGAGCATCCAGTCATTCGGGGCTACTACTGTGCAAGGGATGCTGGGAAGGCTGGGGAGCCATGATGCCTTAGTGGATTGCTTACTGTCTCCTCCACTGTAGGAAGCCCCTCCTGGTCCTTGTCTTGGTCCAAGAAGTCTATATTTGTAATCCCAAAAATATATTATTGGAATCCCAAGTTAATTCCAATCTACCACTCCCAGTGCAACCCACGGTGAAAACAAAGACACTAAAGCACATTTATAATTATGGAGAGCCCAGGGGCCCTAAGTCCAGCCACAAAGAGGCTTTCCAGGACAAAAGGACTGACCCAGGGCCACACCCAGGTTTTATTCAGTTGAGAAAGAGGAGTGGCTTGAGGATGAATG